GCTAGCGGTTTGCAAACTTGACCCCTGATTCAGGCCGGTCCGGCGACAGGCCCGTGTCCGGCGAGCCTCAGCCGCTCGCCCTTCGGTGCCTCCTTGTCTTTGGTGTGGGATTAGGATAGGAAGACCTTCCTGCCCTGCTTCCCGAGATTAGGAGGTCAAGTCACATATTATGAGTTTAAGTGCAATGAAAGCAAAATAGTATTCAAAATAGAAGACTTCAAAAAAAAAAATTGGCTTCAAAGATTATTATCACTGGGGGGAAAGCCTGGAAACAAAACCGAAAGAGATTCGTCAGCAGGATCAAGGCAGTGAGTTACTTTACAGAATCAACACAGGGCAGATAATGCAAAGTTTGGGGGCTGTCACAGAAAATATTAGAGGTTTAATTAATACCCTTCTGTTTCCTCAGTTGATGGTACTGGGAAAGCCAGGGTTGCAACATAAAAGTGCAGGCGCCGTTCTCATTTAATCCTTAGAATAACCCTGTGAAGTAGGTACTGCTGCACATTTTATTTATGGGGGAACCGGATCTTAGAGGTTAAGTAACTTGCCCAACAGCACACAGCTAAGTGTATAATCTGGAATTTGGATTTGGTTGTAACAGGATATCTTAAGCAATTTAACATCTTATGCTTAGACTTAAGGTTTTTTGACATGTTCAGTAGACCATAATTTTTTGTTTTATCCTCACCCGAGGATATATTTTTCCCCATTGATTTTAGAGAGAGTGGGAGGGAGGGAGAGGGGAGGAGAGAGAGAAAGAGAAACAGAAACATCAATGTGAGAGAGAAACTTTGATAGGTTGCCTCCCACATGCAGCCTGGCCTGATGGGCTGGGGATGGAACTGGCACATGCCCTGACTGGGAATCAACTCAGAACCTCCCGGTGGGAATGGGACGGCACTGTAACCACTGAGCCACTCTGGCTGGGCAGGAAACCAAAATGTTAAATGAGTTGAGGGAATAGAAAATAAAACTATGAGTGGCTATAAATAAAGGTCCTTTATGTGCTCATAACAAATTCTCCTTTTTCTTTAGCTAGGTGGACAATTTGCAACCAGAAATACAAAATATTGCACAACACCTTAACCATGAAGTTGCAGTTCGTGCAAAACAGTTGGGGTGGTCCAAAAGAGTTGCCAGGTAAGATAATTCTGTGCATATAAAACCATGAAAATATATGTATATAATGTGAAAGTGATTATGTTAATTGTAGGTTTGAGTATTCTGTAGCTTTAGCAGCAAAGTAGTTTTTTTTCTTTAGTATTTTAGTAAGTTTATGTGGCATGATAGTTTTATTTTTTATTTATTGATTTGCGAGAGAGAGAGAAAGTTCCCCTTATTTATGTATTCATTGGTTGGTTCTTGTATAGGCCCTGACTGGGGATCAAACCTGGTGTATTGGGATGATGCTCTAAACAACTGAGTTACCCGGCCAGGATTGGCATAATTTAGGGTGTCCCAAAAAAATGTATACACATGCTTTGAATAATTATAAAGGCAGTGTTTATAAACACATTTCATTTTCAAAATTGAGCTATGAGCTGTTAAACTGTGTATACATTTTTTGGGGACACCTTGCTTTATATGCTGGACTGAAAGCAAAGAAATGGAAAAACAAAGATAAGAAGGGCAAGTTTCTTATTCTTTCTTTTTCTTTTTTTAAAATATATTTTATTGATTTTTTACAGAGAGGAAGGGAGAGGGATAGAGAGTTAGAAACATCGATGAGAGAGAAACATCAATCAGCTGCCTCCTGCACGCCTCCTACTGGGGATGTGCCCGCAACCAAGGTACATGCCCTTGACCGGAATTGAACCTGGGACCCTTGAGTCCGCAGGCCGACGCTCTATCCATTGAGCCAAACCGGTTAGGGCTCTTTCTTTTTTAAAAAAATATATTTTTATATTTCAGAGAGGAAAGGAGAGGGAGAGATAGAAACATCGATGAGAGAGAAACATTGATGGGCTGCCTCCTGCATGCCCCCCACTGGGAACTGAGCCTGATCCTGACTGGGAATCAAACTGTGACCTTCTGGCTCATAGGTCGATGCTCAACCACTAAGCCTCTGGGGCCAGGCAAGTTTCTTATTAAAGAGACCCCATCCTACTCAAAAGACCTGCAATCAAATAATGACTGAATTAAGTACTAGAAGAAAGGTTTTGTGCAAGGAGTTGGGTCATTATGGAAAGTCAGGGAAGGCTTCACAGGATAAAGATACTGTGCCAGTCTGGTGCTTTAGTCAACAAATCATACAGGTTATTTTCCAAACTTCACCTTTTTGAAAAGATACAGTAGGCAGTAGCCCTCAGGAATGAGGAAGTAGAAAATGTGAATATTATAATAGGAGCAACTGGATAGCTAGGGTGCTGTCCATCCACTGTAATTACCCTGTGTAGTAATCTTTCTGGGGTCCTAGAAACCGTTACCCAAGGGTGCATGACCATAGTCATCCACTGCGAACTTCTAAGTCATCATGCTTCAGTCAACCTAAGCTACCACTTAGTTTCCCAAATTCTTATCCTTACTATACTGTGACATAGTGTTCACCATTTCACAGAAATGAGAAACACATATATATACATATATACATGGTTATCCATACATTTAACTCTATAGGTATACATTTGCCAACTATTTTCATTATGAAAGTGCTTCTCTCTAGTGTTAAGAAAACTTGACAAACCTGTAGTTTTGAAGTTTTACTGATCAGAGAAATCTCACAATTATAGCTCTATGCCAAAAGAACAGATTTACAGCTGCTCACCTGGGTTGTAAATACATCCTAGATAAGTTGGTGGCACCCTGGTGATGCAGCACTGGCACGATGATTGTTCAGCCACATCGTTTTGGAGATGGGTGGCTTTCTGGAAAGACACTCTGAAGGTTTCCTACATTTTCATTGGGACAGTCTTGGAAGGTGAAAGGGAGTGTGCCAGGTGGACAGCCAAGAGAGTGGGTTGTCCACACAGATGATAAAATCATTTCCAAAGGTATGCTGATGCGGAAGTCTGATTTGTTGGATGACCTAAGCCCAGTAAAACCTCAGATAGAAGATTAAGTATTCAACTGCAAGGCATTTTCAATTAGTTTTGCTTAATGAGGAAGAGATAATCTCTTAATTGTAACATGAACCTCAAATGGGGGAAATTTTTCTTCCTAATTTGCCCCAAACGTTGTTTTGGCTTTGTATTATATTCTGCATCAATGAACTGGAATCCAGAATGTTATTCATTTGTCCTAAATATTTAACAACTATGAACTAGTTTAGCCCATATCAAAGCCCATATCAATACTGAAGACAGTATTTCAGATGTCTCCCATCCCCATCCTCCGTTACCACCCTCCGCTCAAGGATAATATATATTCATTTTTAAAAACATAAGCTTGCTTGACTGTACTTGGTTGGAATGATAGAAGTAGTGCTTTGTAAAACTTCTATATTCTCTAAATTGTTGCATGTTGCCTTGTTACTATAACAATTTTTTTAGAAAAAATTTACTGATTGATTTTAGAGAGACAGAGGAAAGGAGATAGAGAGACATCAATTTTTGTTGCTCCCCTTATTTATGTATTCATTGGTTGGTTCTTGTATAGGCCCTGACTGGGGATCAAACCTGCAACCTTGGGGTATTGGGATGACGCTCTAAACAACTGAGTTACCCGGCCAGGATTGGCATAATTTAGGGTGTCCTAAAAAAATGTATACACACGCTTTGAATAATTGTAAAGGCAGTGTTTATAAAAATACATTTCATTTTCAAAATTGAGCTATAAGCTGTTAAACTGTGTATACATTTTTTGGGGACACCTTATTTTATATGCTGGACTAAAAGCAAAGAAATGGAGAAACAAAGATAAGAAGGGCAAGTTTCTTATTCTTTCTTCTTAAAAAAAAATATTTTTATTTATTTCAGAGAGGAAAGGAGAGGGAGAGTTAGAAACATCAATGAGAGAGAAACATTGATGGGCTGCCTCCTGCATGCCCCCAACTGGGGACAGAGCCTGCAACCTGGGCATGTATCCTGACTGGGAATCAAACTGACCTTCTGGCTCATAGGTCGATGCTCAACCACTAAGCCTCTGGGGCCAGGCAAGTTTCTTATTAAAGAGACCCCATCCTACTCAAAAGACCTGCAATCAAATAATGACTGAATTAAGTACTAGAAGAAAGGTTTTGTGCAAGGAGTTGGGTCATTATGGAAAGTCAGGGAAGGCTTCACAGGATAAAGATACTGTGCCAGTCTGGTGCTTTAGTCAACAAATCATACAGGTTATTTTCCAAACTTCACCTTTTTGAAAAGATACAGTAGGCAGTAGCCCTCAGGAATGAGGAAGTAGAAAATGTGAATATTATAATAGGAGCAACTGGATAGCTAGGGTGCTGTCCATCCACTGTAATTACCCTGTGTAGTAATCTTTCTGGGGTCCTAGAAACCGTTACCCAAGGGTGCATGACCATAGTCATCCACTGCGAACTTCTAAGTCATCATGCTTCAGTCAACCTAAGCTACCACTTAGTTTCCCAAATTCTTATCCTTACTATACTGTGACATAGTGTTCACCATTTCACAGAAATGAGAAACACATATATATACATATATACATGGTTATCCATACATTTAACTCTATAGGTATACATTTGCCAACTATTTTCATTATGAAAGTGCTTCTCTCTAGTGTTAAGAAAACTTGACAAACCTGTAGTTTTGAGATGATTAGTGACTTGGAGCATGTTTTCATATGTCTCTTGGCTTTCTGAATGTCCTCTTTTGAAAAGTGTCTATCACCCCATACTTTTCATAAATAGAATACTTTAACCAGTCTTGCTTATAAAGGATATAAATATACAATTTAAAATATTGAGTGTAAGCAAACTAACTGTGTTGAGAAAATAAATCTAGAAAGGAAAGCAGTAATACTGCTTCTTAGAGATCATAATAAAATTAGTGTTATAATTTCAGAATTTGGTTTCCTAACCAGGAATTGTTTTTGTTTATAAACTTAAGAGAACAGAAAAGCTTTCACAGTGATAAATGTAAACATTAATTGAGAAACAATATGAACTAAAGCATTTGTTTTTTACTTTCATTTAAAGGCATTTCTAACCAGAAAGTAATCTGAATAGATTCTAAAGAAGCAGCTATGCCTACATAATTATTTAAAGTTAAGCCTGAAACGATTATTGCTACTTCGTTGTTGTTATTGTTAATCCTCACCCAAGAATATTTTTCCATTGATTTTTAAAGAGAGTGGAGGGAGGGAGGGAGCGGAGAGAGAGAAACATCATGTGTGAGAGAGACATCAAAAGAAGGAATTCTTACCATTTGCAACAGCATGGATGGAACTGGAGAGCATTATGCTCCAATCCACACACCAACTGAACCTGCACCCCGGGTACATGCGCTTGACTGGGAATTGTGCCCTTGACTGGAAATTGAATTCTCAACCCTTCTGTGCGTAAGCCTATGCTCTAACCACTTGGCACACCGTCAGGGCACTGCTACATATTTTTATTTTTTTTCTCTCTAAGTCTGTTTGCTACAAAAAGCTGCTTGCCTCTTTCTCAATCCAGGAAGAACTGATTTGTGTTACAGAATGAGAAGAGCCTGAATAAAACCAATGCAAGTCTTTAGTTTGAGGGGCACCTTTTTGGAATTATTATCCTACATAATGTCTTGTGTATTTCCTTCTGCTGTTGTAATAAATTATTTTATTTATAAATTTTCAGCAGGTTTTTCTGTCCAGGAGCAGTTAGCAACTGGTGGGGTCCTATGGTTTCCTGACCTCACTGCACTGGATTCCACTTGGATTCTGCCTATCTGCATTGGTGCCATCAATTTAATAATAGTAGAGGTCAGTGGTTTTAAACAAGATTGTTTGCCATTTAAATTATTAGGATTTCTGTTGTTGCTGTTTTGACATCAAATATAAATGTGTTTGAGTCTTAATTCAGAGCTACTCATTGAAGGTGAGTAGGTAACGGGTGTTACCTACTTTGTTCAGGGAGTATCAGTGTTGATTCCAATTGCTGTGACAGTACCTTCAGTGCGTAAACACCAGCATTGTGTGCTAAATCCTGTCTGATCTTAGCTTCATCTGGCTGGGGTTCTGCCTGTAGAGCTAGAATTTAGTTTGGTTTCTGGTTGCAGGTCAGCCATCGACAAACTGACTGTCTTGGGTCAGTTCCTTAACCTCTCTGGGGGACAGAATGCTCATCATTAAAGTAAGAAAGCTGAATTAGAACACTTCCAAAGTCTCTTTCAACTTTAAAATTATATGATTCTAATACATTCAGTTTTGTGATTTGCTTTTGGTTAAAGGCGGTCATTAAGATGTCTAATCAATCTGGTTTTATTCCCACAATAGATTGGTATTTTGTGTATATGTTTAATATATAAATTTGTAGGCAGAGAATAAAGTCATTACCTGACTGCCATTTTTTAGTTATGCGATCTTAGAAAAATAATAGAATTTCTTTATAAGATGGAGTGGAAAAACACATACATATTCAATATGACCTCTTAGCTATGTCTTACCATTATCCCATGCTCCTTTACTCAACAGTTTATGGGAAGCGTGCCTTTAATTTCATAAAGAGCTGTTCTCAAACTCTGAAAAGAACATTGACTCTTTGAACTAGAAGAAACCTTAGAAATTATCTACCTCAGTTGTGATCTCATAGACTTCATGTCCACTGGTCTCTGGGAAATCTCATATACCTTTATTTTCTTAGACAAGAAAAATGAAGATGATACCGTAAGGTGTTGGGTGATAGTTTCTTGAGGAAAGACTCCAGTCTAAGTGTGTGGTCTAAGTGTATTTCCCTAGAGGGGAACCCAGCAGAGTCTTGTGAACGTGGTTGGACTTAGTGAATATTTGTTAGAAAGAAGGAAGTGATAAATACAAGGTCACCATGGATTAATGTCCGTCCTTTAGTCTTTACTTTATACCATCTACTAACCCAGTATGTATAGGTTTAAGAAAAGCTTATTCTTACTTAACATACACCATATTTCAGGCACTATTTTAATAGCTTACATTAATTAGCTCATTTTTAAAGAAATATTTTTTTATTGATTTCAGAGAGGAAGGGAGAGGGAGAGAGAGATAGAAATACCAGTGATGAGAGAGAATCATTGATTGGCTGCCTCCTGCATGCCCCCTACTGGGGATCAAGCCTGCAACCCAGGCATGTGCCCTTGACTGGAATCCACTGAGCCAAACCAGCTAGGGCTAATTAACTCATCTAATTCTTTTGACTAATTCTGTGATATAGGTACTATTACTATTATTATGTGCATTTTAAGGTGGAGAAAGTGAGGAACAGAAAGGTTAAATAACTTGCACAGTCATATGACCACTAAATACAGGGCTGCCAAGTGAACCTAGGAAGTTTGGGCCTAGAGTCTGGGCTCATAATCATTACTGCTATGTTGCCTCTTAAATAAGTAATCCATAAATTATAACTGCTTTCCCTTGCCTTGGTTATTCCCCTTTATCCATGTAGCCAGATCACAAATCTTTGAGATACCAAGTTCCTTCTTTATGCCAGGCACTGTACTTAAGTACCAAAAAACATACATACTACCTATCTTTTTTAAAAAAAATATGTTTTTATTGATTTGAGAGACTGAGACAGGAAGGGAGAGGGAGAGAGAGAAACATCGATGTGAGAGATCGGTTGGTTGCCTCTAGCATGCAACCCAAGCAGGGACTGAACCAGGAATCAAACCCCAGACCCTTTGGTGCACAGGATGATGCTCACCTAATTGAGCTACACTGGCCAGAGCCATAGTACCTATCTTGAAGGGACTTTCAGTCTTACAATCTTTAAAAACCATCTATAATAATAAAAGGATAACAAGCTAATTGGACCGGATGTCTTCTGGACGTCCTTCCTGACGAAGCCGGGCCAGAGGGAAGCCAGCCTGGATCCTGGGTGCCTGCTGGCGGCCAAGAGAAGGAAGCCTGGGTCCCGGGTGCTGGAGGAAAGCCAGTGCTGGCAGCCGGGGGAAGGAAGGCCTACTCTTGCACAAATTTTTGTGCATCAGGCCTCTAGTTGTCTTATAAAAATTATGCTGTGATTCTATTTAATATAGTTGAATCTCTTCAATTAAAGCTACTTTTAAGATTTCTGCATAATTATTAAGTTTTATAAAAGATAGATGATCAACCAAATAAACTTATCAGTGTTTTCTTTTTTTTCATTGGTTAAAATGTAAGTGAAGGCCATTTTATGCATTTTAATAATTATGGTGTGTGTATATATTCTGCCCTTTTAGATTGTTGCTCTACAAAAAAGTAGAATGTCTCGTTTTCAGACGGGTGTTACCTACTTTGTTCGGGGAATATCAGTGTTGATGATTCCAATTGCTGCGACAGTACCTTCGGTGAGTAAACACCAGCATTGTGTGCTAAATCTTGTCTGACCTTAGCTTTATCTGGCTGGGTTCTGCCTCTTCTACTGAGCTTTCTCTGAAAACTCAATCCCTTACTGGTTTCTGAGTTTTTCTGTAATAACTAATTTACTGTCTCTGTCACCGAGTGACACATATTTCTTGGGATTGATTGACCTTCCTGTATGTGAATGTCTTAACTCTCTTACTAACTCAAACCTTTTTTCTTTTTACAATTTTGCAAAGTACCTTGCACACTACCCTGAACAAAGTATTTGCTCTGTTTGATTAGGTGATATATTGAATTGTTTCTGTCTATATAGACTTAGTTAAGGAATTTAGCACTTAAAAAAGAAGCAGACTTTGTGCCAAGTCCATATGTGTTCATATGTAATATTATTTAACCTCATACAGCTCTTTATGAAATAGGTACACTTGCCCCTATTTATTTATAATTAAACTTTTTTTTAAAGAATATTTTTATTGATTTCAGAGAGGAAGGGAGAGGGAGAGAGAGATAGAAACATCAATGATGAGAGAGAATCATTGATCGGCTGCCTCCTGCACGTCCCGCAGTAGGGATTGAGCCTGCAACCCGGGCATGTGCCCTTGACCGGAATCGAACTCAGGACTCTTCAGTCCCAGTCCACAGGCCGACGCTCTATCCACTGAGCCAAACTAGTGAGGTCTGTAATTAAACTTTTATAGAAATAGAGAAATTGTTATGTTTGCAGTTATTTCATATTTTTGGTCTTTTGCTTATTACCCATGGATACTTAGTGCTAAGAAGGCAAAAGCTGTGTCAGAGCCAACACATAGACCATAAAGTAGAATCTATTTGTTGCTGATAGTTAGGGTTATATCAGCATATGTAAAGTTTTTCATGTTACTTATCTTAGGAATCTGGAATAGTATGTATTCAGCATCAAACATATATTACTGCCCTAACCGGTTTGGCTCAGTGGATAGAGCATCGGCCTGTGGACTGAAGGGTCCCAGGTTCAATTCCAGTCAAGGGCATGTACCTTGGTTGTAGGCACATCCCCAGTAGGGAGTGTGCAGGAGGCAGCTGATCGATGTTTCTCTCTCATCGAAGTTTCTAACTCTCTATCCCTCTCCCTTCCTCTCTGTAAAAAAAAAAAAAAAAAAATAAAAAAAATATATTTAAGTGTATATATATATATAACTAAAGCTGTCCCTTAGACATAATATTGTCATTACTCCTATATAAAATAACTAAGTTTCTACATGTCTTAAATAGACATCATTATGTCTGTGAGAATTAATGAAATAACACCAAGTACTTATAATAATTTTCATATAATAGTAGTATTGTTGTAAAATACCCTATAAAATAGAAAAATACAGGTTCACGACATTTCTTGGGAGAAATAATGCCAATTATAACTGAGGAAACCCCCAGCTCAAATAAAATAAGGGCAGTGAAGTTTCAGTGAGGGTCTGGGTTCAAAGTGAGTAACACATCTGAAAAAGTGTCTTAAATACCCAAAAGTTTATTCTCTCAAATATAGGAAATTCAGTTAGGCAGCTTAGTGTATCTCTTACAAGACATGAGAGACCCAGCCTGCTTCTCTCTCTCTCTTTTTTTAATATATATTTTTATTGATTTCAGAGAGGGAGAGAGAGAGAGAGAGAAACATCAATGATAAGAGAGAATCATCAATCGACTGTCTTCTGTACACCCCTTACTGGGGATTTGAGCCCGCAACCCAGGCATGTGCTCCCAACCAGAATCAAACCTGGGACCCTTCAGTTACTGGGCCGACCCTCTATCCACTGAGTCAAACCAGTTAGGGCTGCTTCTCCTAATGCTCCACCATCCACAGTCTGTAATGTCTGTCCTTCAGGCCCCAGTATGGCCGTGATGGCTGCCGGAGCTTGTCTCTGCAGGAGTGGTAACAGGGTGCTTCACGTGCAGTGAGCGCTTGGAGGGAGCCTTGCCAGCTGTCCCACCAAACACTCCTGCTTACCTCTTAGTTACCTGGCCACACCTCACTGCGGAAGAGGCTGGGAAGAAGTCTTTCTCTTCGCCATGGCAGTATACCTTTCTGGAAATTAGGACTTTATTACTAAGGAAGAAGAGTGATTTTTAATAGACAGCTTATAGTCTGTACAGTTGAGTTCAGGGTACTTTTTGCTTAGTGGATAAATCAGATGATGGTGATAGCTAATGTTTAGTCAGCATTGACTTTGTGCCAGGAACTATTTGAAGTGGTTTGCATATATTAGCTCTTACAATTCTCCCAACAATGCACTGAAGTAGCTGCTGCTGTAATCTCCACTTTAGTGATGAGGAAACTTAAGCCCAGAGAGGTTAAGTAATTCATCCAAGGTTACTCATCTGTTAGTGGCAGAGCCTTACACATCCAGGCAGCTTGGCTCTTGCTCTTAACTACAATGGTAATCTGCCTTTGATGATGTGTTACTTTCTGCTCCTCAAAACTTGCTTTTGGAACAAATGCAAGTGCTTAATATGGACCACACACTGCTTTACCATCTATTTGAGTTATCTCATTTATTCTTTACAGCAACCTTCTGAGATAGGTACAGTCCTGTGCCCATTTTATAAATGAGGAAACTGAAACAGAAGAAAAATAACTTACCCAAAGTCAAATAAATGGAATTCAAACTCAAGCAGTTTGACTCCAGGGCTTGGACTCAACCACCACATAGTCATGCCTCTGGGTTCTGGTGACCTTCTGATGCCAAAGAAAAGTTTGTGTGGGATTGTTTTGAGAGGCTGTAGGACTTAGTCACTGACCTACATAATCAATCTGGATGGTCGTACAAAAAAGTGAAGATAATGCTGAGCTATAAGTCTCAGAAAAGGCAAAGATAATGCATTCCTGACCATTCTTAGCGACTGGTTACTAGAAAAGTTGGTAGATAGATGACTATATGGAGGAAAGTGAAGTCTAGGGAGGCTAAGTTTGCCATCATAAATGGCTGTACCTCTAGGACCCTACCTCTAATTATGGCAGTTTGTCAGGACTCTTGGTGGGGAAAAAGCCAAAGAAGGGCAGCAAGACCTCTCTTGGTCCCTGGGAGCTACTCTGTCATCCACTTTCTATCACGAATACCTCTCTTTTTGCTTTTTGGTCTTCCTTTCATCCTTCTTTCTAACCTATTAGACCCTTCACAGATATCTAACCGCCATTGCAGGTCTTGTTTATTCCTAGTGTACTTCTATTTGCAGAGATTATAATTTTCTTTGTCTCTGAAGCTTGGTGTCCGTGGAGAATGAGCGGTGCTAACATTCATGTCCTTTCTTTTTTTTTTTACAGTCACTTGTTCTCTACTGGTTATGCTCCAGCTTCATGGGCCTTTCACAGAACTTGCTGCTGCGTTCTCCCAGGTTTCGTCAATTTTGCCGTATACCGTTGACCAAGGGAGATTCAGACACTCCTTATAAGGACCTCTTTGCTGCTTTCTACGCCAAGTACATTTCAAGGAAATGACATACTTTTCAGCGATTTTGAAACAGAAGTATTACTAACACTTTAATATACTTAGAAGATTTATTCAGATATGATTTAATTTGCCCTTATTTAAAATCTTGAGCCCTAACCGGTTTGGCTCAGTGGATAGAGCATCGGCCTGTGGACTGAAGGGTCCCAGGTTCGATTCTGGTCAAGGGCATGTACCTTGGTTGCGGGCACATCCCCGGTAGGGGGCGTGCAGGAGGCAGCTGTTCGATGTTTCTCTTTCATTGATGTTTCTAACTCTCTATCCCTCTCCTTTCCTCTCTGTAAAAAATCAATAAAATATATTTAAAAAAATAAATAAAATCTTGAACTCTGTGAAGTATTGTGTTAAAATATGATCCAGTTATAATTGACAATACTTAAAATCTATTAAATGCTAGTATGTAGGTGGCATGTTTGCTTTGTATCCTAAGAATATAAAAGTGCCTGGTTCTGTTTATAGAATTACAACTTGCTAGAGGTGGTAGAAGTTTGGAGAACAGGACTAGATACTAAATGATGTCAAATTGTACTGAATAGTCCCACCCATGAAAATTATATAAAACAAGAGAATCCAATGAGGCATTTCTAAAAATTTTGGAGGTCTGAATGATCATATTCCTGTTTGAACATCTAATAAAACGATGTTTTCTCTTTAGAAAAATCCTCAGACTGACAACATGGGGGCCTTCAGGCCCTGAAATGCCTCTGGTGGCTCCCAGTTAAGAAATCTTATTTGAATGGAACATACATTAGCAGTGAGTCATTTTGTGATTTTTTTAGAAAATGGACTTGAGATACATGGTGGTAGAGGAGTCCATGCATGCAAGAAAGTACCTAATATGGTAGGTGGTGTGGCTTCTTAACCACATTCTGAAAGAAGACAGACAGTGTACATTCCTTTTCCTAAGATTTAAGAAGACTGAAATACAAAGTATGGAACTAAGTACTACTAGAGCAAAGTGAAACATCTTAAGCTTAAGCTTGTTTAATCAAAGGAGGGTAAACCAGATGGACTATTGATTTTGGAGCTGATTTTATAAACTTGTTTATTTGGGAGGATTAAGTACTCTAATGGGTTTAAACAGTGGTAGATGTTTGATATAGGAAAAATTGACAGGTAATATAAATTGTGGACCCAGTAGTCTGCTTGTTTCACTCAAAAAGATGATGAAATTAATTCTGGTTGAGATATTTAGGAATAAATTTGACAGGCATTTGAGAAGATTACAAATTTTCATTGAGTTGGAATGTGAACCTGTTTCTGAGATGCCCTATCATTCCATCTTATGTTTTACAATAAAAACTAAAATGAGCCCAAACCAGTTTGTCTCAGTGGATAGAGCGTTGGCCTGTGGTCTGAAGGGTCCCAGGTTCAATTCTGGTCAAGGGCATGTACCTTGGTTGTGGGCACATCCCCAGTAGGGGGTGTGCAGGAGGCAGCTGATAGATGTTTCTCTCTCATCAGTGTTTCTAACTCTGTATCCCTCTCCCTTCCTCTCTGTAAAAAAAATCAATAAAATATATTTTTTTAAAAACTAAAATGAAGTTAATAAGTCATTTCTTGAGTGATGTTTATTATATCTTAGCCATTTTGGTTGCCATGTTATTGCAACTTACTGAGAATTTAGAGGAAGCAGTTGAGACTAGGTTCTCTTTTCATGACTTCCCAGCCCTGGTTTATGATTGAGACAACCCTACTTCCCAGTAAAGGAATTAAAACTTACGTATAGTCAGTCCTCATTCGCAGATTTTGTATTTGCCTACTCGCTAAAATTTATTTGTAAACCCCAAATCAGTACTCATAATACTTTTGATGACATTCTTGGACATACACAGAGTAGCAAAATATTTGAGTCACCCGAGGCACATTTTCCCAGGAAGTCAAACAAGGCAATGCTGTGTCTTCATATCTCAGCTTTCAAACTAAATAAGTGTCCTTTTTCTACTTAGTGCTGTTTTTTTTCCTCATTTTTGTGCTTTTTTTTTTATTTCTCTATTTAAAATGGCCTCTAAGTGTCATGCTGAAGTGCAGCCTAGTGTTCCTAATCACAAGAAGTCTGTGAAGCTTCTTAAGGAGAAAACTCCTGCATTAGATAAACTTCATTCAGTCCAGAGTCTGTTGGCCATGAGTTTAAGGTAAATGACTCAACAATACATTGTATTAATGGTTGACAAATGTGACCAGAGGCTCACAGGAACCTCACTCTGTAGGAGTGGTTCAGTATTCATTAATTCAGTCTTTGTGCTGACTTATGAAAATAACTACCTCGAATAACTGCAACATATACCAGTACAATCAAGGAAGCAGAGCTAGAAATGTGTGTCCTCGGTTACAGCAAAAAGAGGAGGGGAGATTTGGGGACAATTTTGGTTCTCTGGAATAAGTTGGCTCTTGGTATATGTATCATTGTGTACTGATTCAGATATTTTTCTCATGATGGGATGAGGGAAGTCAGCCCCCTTCCATTGACTACTCAAAGAAGTGTGTCATTTTCTTAGAAGTGAAAAATAAAGGCATGCTTGACTCTCCCTTTCAAATAGGTAAATCTCCTTTCATGTGCACACTTTACCTTATTTACTGTGATTCCCCTTGATGTCATGTTGTACATTTGTATCTTTTTTCATATGTATATTTTACCTAGTTTCCTATTGCTCTCCCATTTTCAAACTTTTTGAATTGCTTTTCCAATGTGTACAATAAGTTTATTTGAAAAAACAAGGCCCTTCTTTCCAGATCTCAGAATAATTTCTGATAGAGTTGGGAGTGACTGAGATCTTGGGATATATACTCCTGTATAAAGAAAACCAGTGTGTTATAAACTGGGGTGAATCAGTCACCTGACTTCAGGCTGGTAAATATCCCCCTCATTTCTTTCTCCAGGTGGATTTTATAGCAAACTAGAGGCCTGGTGCATGAAATTTGTGCATGGGTAGGGTCCTTAGGCCTGGCTGGCGATCAGGGCCAATCGGAGCCTTCCGGCTGCAGGCCGGGGCCTTCCTTTGTTCTGCGCCGCCCCCTGGTGGTCTGCACACGTAACAGCGAGCAATCGAGCTCCCAGTCGAACTCCCGAGGGGACACTTGGCATATTAGCCTTATATATACATAGATAACTCATTTCAGGAAATTCTGATTCTGTGATATTTGACCTTATTTCCCCAACAGTTTGTCACCATCTGGAGCAGTGGTTGCCAACCTTTCGGACCTCACAGACCACCAGTGGTCCGCGGACCATCGGTTGGTGACCGCTGATTTGGAGCACTTCCAGAGCCTGAAGTCAGGCAAGGTGGGTACTAGATGAGCACAGAGAACATGCTGTTAAGGTCCCTTGACAACTCCCTGTTGGTTTCTTCTAACTGCTGCTGAGGGACTCCTGGCAGAGTTCAGTCCTGGGCCCTGCAGAGTTCAGAAAACCTTTTGTCTTTTTAGGGGGACCATAGTCTACTTGCTTGTACCTTCTCCCTTGCTGAAAAGGGAATTTTTTTTCCCTGTGGGTCTGTGGACAGGGTTCATTGTTTTATGGGTGTGTCTCAGCCCAAGAGTCAGGAAGGGAGACTCACTCCTGGACCAGTGTATATCATGCCATTGTGATACCTGAGCTCAGAATTCTGTTAAGAGATGGAACTGGTTTACCTGGAATTGACCCAACATTAGTTTTCCTTGGAACCATTGTGAGAGAAGACCTAAACAGTCCTATCCTGACCAAATGTCATATAGGTGGGAACATGTGGCTTTACAGAAGAAAGTCAAAATCCTTGATTGCCTCCTCACAGATAACCCAGGAGAGACTATAAAACTACATGAAGGACCTTGAAGAGAAAACCAAACGGGGAGAAGCACTCAAGAGCTTTAAAAGCACTCAAGAGCTGAAATCCAAACCCACACATCTTAGAAGAGGTTCAGCCAGTCCTCCTAGACCACACTGGGGAAATTATAGTTTAAGGGGAAAAAATTAGTGCCCAAATAAACCTCAGTAGCTTCTCTATTTTGCACCGATACTTCAATCACCAATATGTCCCCATAGTTTCCTCCTCTGAGGATCCCAAGAATCACTTTTTAAAAATCAGAATCACCTTTTAAATTGCTTCAATATCAGATTAAGCCCCGAAAACAGCAGGAATGAAGACCCCAGAAAAATATTAAGAAATTTTTCTCTTTTAGGGTGATAAGTGAAGTTACAATGGTGTTTTGTGTGTGTGTGTGTGTGTGTGTGTGTAGAGAGAGAGAGAGAGAGAGAGAGATACATGCTTGCTAATTTCTGTTCTGATTGGTCTGCAGGCTTCCTGTCTTAGCAACATCCATACATTTTATTTTTATTATTTTTTAAAATACTTTCTTTTATTGATTTCAGAGAGGAAGGGAGAGGGAGAGAGAGAAACATCAATGATGAGAGAGAATCATTGATTGGCTGCCTCCTGTATACCCCCTACTGGGGATCAAGCCACAACCCCGGTATATGCTCTAGATTGGAATCAAACCTGGGACCCTTCAGTTTGCAGGCCAATACTCTCCACTGAACTAAACCAGCTAGGGCAACATCCATACATTTTATTTTATTTTTTTTAATTTTTTTTAATTTTTTATTTTTTTCAGATACAAAAGATATTACCAATCCAAGTTTAATGTCAAAATCTACTCATTTTTTTTAACATTAAGCAATTATGTTGGAAGGAATAGATAAAAACACATAGATACGTTTATAGAAGTCTCTCCTATAAAAATTAATTAATTGAAAATTCTACCCTTTATCCCATTTCTCTTTTTCTGTGTATCTTTCTTTTTTAATGACATCTTTATTCAGATTATTACAGTTGTTCCTCTTTTTTCCCCCCATAGCTCCCCTCCACCCAGTTCCAACCCAACGCTCTGCCCTTACCCCCCCCCCACTGTCCTCATCCATAGGTGTAC